ATTAACATCTCATTATGAATAGTGGCTTAAAGTTGAAAATATTTTGAATAAAACTTTTCTGAGCGTATTAGTATCCATATGTAGTACTTAATATGGTAAGATTTAATAAAAGTTTGAGAATGGCTTATTATTTTCTCAAACCAAACAAAACAATAAACAAAAAACACAGCCAGTCTAGGTGGCTCATGCCTGTAATCCCAGTACTTTGAGAGGTGGAGGCTGGAGGATCACTTGAGCCGAGGAGTTTGAGAGCCACCTGGGTAACAAGGAGAAACCCCATCTACAAAAAATACAAAAATTAGCTGAGTGTGGTGGTATGAGCCTGTAGTTCCAGATACGCAGGAGGCTGAGGTAGGAGAATCACTGGAGCCTGGGAGGTTGAGGCTACAGTGAGCAAAGATCACACGACTGCACTCCAGCCTGGGTGACAGAGCCAGGCCCTGTCTCTAAATAAATAAATAATTTTCAAAAACACAGTTTCTAATGTTTGAGCATTTCCTTAGCATTCAGTTTTTAAAGATCCTTACTCTTTTTTCAGTGATATTGTAGTCAAACGAAATAGAAGTCAAAGAGTAAATACATTTCTTGGAATTCTACATTTGAGTAGTATTCAACCCATGGTGAAGCAATTAAGAGTTCTTGGGTTAAGCAATTTCTATATCTTAGTTTTTCCAGAATAGATTTCCAAATCAGTGTTTCAAGGCTTTCTGAGTATGAATATTAATACACATAAGTTTCTGGGTTTAGGGAAGAAAAATATGAGTTTTTTACTCCTCTCCCTCTTCCTCCACACATTCTCTGCAATGGCTCACTTTACTCAGAAGAAATTTCATTTGCTATTTTAAAGCTAAGTACACTGGATTTTTCACCATAAATGCCTATATGAAAAAGACAAAGCTCATGTGGTTATCAAAGTTGATTAAATGTTGGTGGTATTGCAGTTTTGTTACAAGTGTAGTGAAAAAATGTTTGTGGTATGTAGTTATGTACAATATTATTAGTGACTATGTTATATTCTTAAATTCTTTGTTTGAGATGGAGTCTTGCTCTGTGGCCCAGTCTGGAGTGCAATGGCACAATCTCGCCTCACTGCAACCTCTGCCTCCTGGGTTCAAGCAATTCTCTGCCCCAGCCTCCCAAGTAGCTGAGATCTACAGATGCCCACTACCACGCCTGGCTAATTTTTTTATTTTTAGTAGAGACGGGGTTTCATCATCTTGGTCAGGCTGGACTTGAACTCCTGACCTGGTGATCCACCCGCCTCAGCCTCCCAAAGTGCTGGGATTATAGGCTTAGCCACTGCACCTGGCCAGTTAAATTCTTAATAAAAGCAAATTGATATGGAGTTTGATCTTTTGAAGTTGGTTATAAGTAGGTGACCAGATTGAGCAAATAAAAATTCAGGATGTCCAATTCGAATTTCAAATAAATAATAATGAGCATATCTCAAATATTTCATGGGATATACTTAACATTCATTGTTTATCTGAAATTCATATCAAATTGGGTATTCTCCATTTTATCCGACAACTCTAATTATAGGAATAGGAAGATATTTCATTCAGGCTTATACAAAGCTGGCCAGACTAGCAGTAGGATATAAACAGACTAGGTGGTCCTACATTTCTGTCATGGTTGGTCACTGAACAGTTAAGGAAGTTTCCAGCAAAGTCCCAGATTTGGGCTGGCATGTGACCAGATACTGGTCTATTTTTATGCTGAGGTAAATGGGACAATTTTTCCAGGGATTCAGTATAAATTGTAGAGAAGGGGATATGTGCTTAAGAGGGCAGAGGAATGTTCGTATTATACATTGCCACAGTAAAGTCCACTTCAAACAAATCTCCCCCATCCCAGGCAAATAGGGTAGGTATAAATGATGGCATATTAACTGGAAAAAGTCAGACGGGGTTTTGGAATGTGTGGATTGAGTATGCCAAGCAAAGGAACCGTGAGTAGGAAAGCCGGCCTTGGAATAAGTGGATTACACTGGAATGAAACATAGGTCAAACTCAACATATCCAAACCGGAAAGCACGACCTTTCCCTCCAAACTCCTCCCCACTTCCTAAGTTCATTCAGGAATTCAGCAAGTACTTAAGTGGCCACTAGTGCCAGCAAGTGCTGGCTCCAGACAGACACCCTTGAGCAGAACAGACGTGATCCCTGCTCTCAGAGAGCTTACAGCAGAGTGGGGGAGACCCATATCCTCACAAAAATAAATGATTAATTACACATTTTGACGTTACTATGACAGAAGGATGTTTGGTGCTATACATCTTTAATAAAGCCGGTGTGCTGCTGCTATTTTCAGATGGTAATTATAACGAATAAACACAAAAGATTATTACAAGGCATCATGAGAATAAAACATTTTAAAAGAAAGTACCACATAGTTTCCTATTTAGGGGAACAATATTCCATTAAAATTCACATTTTTGGAATTTCTTTTAAAAATTTATTTTTTTTGCCTTTTCCCACAAGTTCTGATGGAATTTGGTTTCTGTTTAAGTAATGTTTGCTAGAATATGTACTTTTATATGAAACACTTGCATATTTGTTATTAGTATGATTAATCTTATCACTGAACAAAAACTACAAGTAAATAATTTTGTTTTACGGGTGAACCTCTTCCATATTCAGCCCATCTTTTTTAAAAATTATTATTATCTTTTCCAGATCAGAGATGTACAGCCCATCTTTAAATGGTGATTCTACTCAGCTGCTCCTGTGCCATCTCTGGTCAAGGGGTGTAATTCCTGCTAACTTGAAAGGGCAAAACTGCTAAGTGCCTATTTCAGTAGCGTATTACCACTTAATTACAGAGGATAGCTTCCAGGAAAAGTACCATAATACATCGAAAAGGGGACTTTTAACTATATCTGGTAGAATTCCAAAGCACTTAACACTCTCTCGGGTCAACGCGGTGACTCCCATCTTACTGAAGTGCAGCTACTTCTGGCCTGGAGCGCAGCTGCTGGTCAATAGCTGTCCAACCTCAGCGCTCCCCACTCGAGACCTTCAAGAGGAGCTCACCGCACCCAGTAACACATATCGCTAGTTTCAAATCATGCTTCTTGTGTCTTGCAAATTTATCTGGAACGCAGAGAAGTACCTCGTACTTCTCGGGACTTCATCAACTCGGTTTTGGCAATTTTCTTCCCACGTCTTTATCCCTTTCTCTTTTCCCCACCATGTACCACTCTGCCAGACGGAACGATTTAGCCTTTTTAAACTGAAGTACCAGAGGAAGGGAGTTAGAGAACTGGACTCGGGGAGGAGGGGCGGTGTTAAACATTTACCGGGAGAGGGGAAGGGGCGGGTGCGCGAACAAAACCCCCAGGCAACCTCCCTCCAAGCGTGCGGTCCTAACTCCCGGTTCCCCCGCCTCGGGCAGGGCTGGATGGCCTCAGGCAGAGGCCAGCAGAGGGAGGAGGACCGGAGTCCCCGTCCGCACCTTCCCCCACCCCAGCTGCATTTTCCCCCAACTCGTCCGGGCGCTGACCTCCGGGCGGCAGCCGGCCCGCGGATCCCGGAGGGAGGAGGGCGAACCGAAGCCCGGAGGCCACTCGGATTGTTACGCGCTTTCAACTTCGCGGAGTGCCGTGCGATAGGGTGCAGCGGGGTTTCCGCCCGGCGCCACCCGGGTCCCCGCGCGGGAAGCGGCTCAACGGGGAAGGCAGCCGGCGCCCGCGGTCTCCCGGCCGGACGCCCGCGTTCTTCCGGCCAGCCCCCCACGGGGGGGAGGGGCGCCGACGCCGCGTTCTCGGGGCCCCGCAGCCAGCGGAAGGGCCGCGCATCGCGGAAGCGCGGCGGCAGCTGAAGATCAGCTGCTGGAGGAGGCGGAGAGGGAGAGGGAGGAGCCTCGGGGGGAAGGAGAGGGAGGGGACCGTCAGGAAGCCGCGAACGCTGCCGAGTGTCTGCACACCTCGCTCTGCCTGCCATGGCTGGTTAAAGAACCATCCGGATCGCAGCGCGGGGGGAGGGCCGGGTGGGGGGAGCGGCGGCCGCGCGTGAGGCCGAGGGAGGGGCGGCGGCGCGAGCGGCGGCGGCGGCGGCGGTTCCAGCATGAAGAGGAGAGCTGGCCTGGGGGGCAGCATGAGGTCAGTGGTGGGCTTCTTGTCCCAGCGGGGCTTGCATGGGGACCCCCTGCTCACTCAGGACTTTCAGAGGAGACGCCTGCGGGGCTGCAGAAACCTCTACAAGAAGGACCTCCTCGGCCACTTCGGCTGTGTCAATGCCATTGAATTCTCCAACAATGGAGGCCAGTGGCTGGTCTCAGGTAAATCAACCCCCTTCCCCTCCCCGCGCCTCCCGGCCCCCTCCCAGCCTCCCCCTCTGGCTCTCCCCCGTCACCCTCCTCCTGCCCTCCGTCCCCACCCCCTCCCTTTTTCATCCCCCTTCTGCGGTGGGAAGGTTTGGTGTCAAATTAAAACCATTGCAGGGGGAGGGGAAGGAGAGGATGTCTTCTATAAAAAAGACCTAAAATGGTTGACAGCTCCTTAATTCGCTTTATCCCAAGTGCAAAGTGATCTCTCCTGATGCCTGCCCTGAAAGTGTGGGTCGGGGAGGGGGGCGAGGTTACCGCTCGACAAAGTTTGACGACAAACTCTTCCTCCGCGTACTTTAAAAGGTGCTGGGGGCATTTTGGGGATGTGGAGGGGGAGGAGGCCGAGGCGCGCCGGAGGCAAGGGGGAGCTGGAGCCCCCGTCGCCGGTGTCAAGTAGAAGGGGTCTTGGGGCTGGGAAGCGGGCGGTGACACACTGGACGCCGAGGGGCCGGGGTCTGCAACCCGGGGGCTGGCGGGGTCCGCGGAAGGGAGGTGACTGGCGGTGGGGTCGCCGTGGGCCGCCCCCATCGGCGCTCTTAGGGGCCCAGCACCATGGCCTTTCGTGATGTGGTGGCCTCCTCTTCGTCTTGTTTTTAATACGATTTCGAGAGTGGTGAGGGCAGTGGAGGCTAAAGGGCACCAGCCTTAAGTTGAATGCGTAACTTGCGAGGCAGGGGGTAGGTGGGCGACCCCCAGGAGACTTGTTAGCGGGATCCCGGCGTCCCGCACCCCGTTTCCCGCGGCCGCCGTTGCAGGTGGTCTCTGCTTCTCCTCCCTCTCGCCCAGACCGGCCTGGTTGCCCTCGGGCTCTCCCTCTGGTTTGGGGAAAGTGGCGAAATCGAGGCCGGGGCTCCGGCCGGGCGGTGTAGGCCTCGCTCTCCCGGGGCTCCTAGCGACAGGCAGCTGAATCGATAGCCTATTGCTCCCGGGGAGGCCCGGGCCCCACGGGCCGCGGGGGCCGCTGCCCCGGGGGAGGTGCGCTTGCCGCCGGTGGGGGCGCTCGCTGCCGTTGTCCCCTCTTCCTCGGGGTCGTGGGCCCAGGGCTGGGCGGGTGGGAATGGGCCTACTTGAGGGCTAGGGGGCGGCTCCCCGAAACCTGGCTCAGGGGAGGAGGGTGAAGACGGCTGATTGGGCGTTCCTGCTTGCCTGCTGCCCTCTTCTGTCCCTTTTTCTATATTGGGAGGGATGAAGGGGGAGTCAAGAGCTGGACGTGGCGCTCAGCTTCACCCTGGTTGGTCCCCGAATGGCTTTATAATTTGTGTCATTGGGCAGCTCGCCAGAAACTTCTGGGATCATGGCAAAGCATCCGCCTTCAGTAGTAACCGTCGGAAGTGACACGGGGCGTACAGCCCAATGCGGGGGTAGCAAAGAGAAAGTCTTCTGTGATCATTTTATGATAAACCTTCTGGGGTCTGTTCAGAACTGACTTGACTTTTTACCTCAGATCGTTTTCTCTTTGACTAGGTGGATTTGGCCCTAGATCATCCCCTGAAGAAACCTGATCCTCTGGGCAAAAGCTTCCTTTCCCTATACCATCATATAAAATTTTGTCAAATAAATTTCAAGAGCAAAAATGGGGGAATTCTTCTTTAAAGACCTGTCTCCCAGTATTCTCCCCTACTGGTTTTCATGTATTCATAAAACTCCTGATGTATTCCAACACAGAAGTTCCCAGACACAAGTAAACTTTACCTACTGAGTGAGGGAATTTGGGGGTACTTTTTTGGCGATAACTGAACTAATCATGTTAACAGAATTCTAAGTAGCCACACATTGCCCAGCTTGACACACCTTTATTTATGCATTTATTCGAGACAGGGCCTCGCTCTGTTTCCCAGACTGACGTGCAGTAGGCTGTCACTGCTCACTGCAGCCTTGACCTCCCAGGCTCAAGCTAACTTCCCACCTCAGCCTCCAAAGTAGCTGGGACTACAGGCAGGTGCCATCATGCCTGGCTAATTTTTAAGTTTTTTTTTTTTTTTTTTTTTTTTTTTGTAGAGGTGGAGTCTCTCTATGTTGCTCAGGCTAGTCTTGAACTTTTGGCCTCGAGTGATCCTCCTGCCTCACCCCACAAAATGCTGAGATGACAGGCATGAGCCACCATGCCCAGCCCATACTTTAAAAAAAAAAACACATTTATTGAGATAATTTACATGCCATATAATTTATCTATTTGAAGTTACATTTTTAAAAGCACTGAAAAGTTCCCTTCATTCTATTTTATAGAATCCTTGGGCAGGACTCTCCCCTATGTCTTAAATGAACCCTATTTTCTCTAGGCTTGGCCAGGTCATTTCCTTTATCTTTATTTTAGCCTGTAGAAGAGGAGAGTCCTTTCCACAGGGGAAGCTCTGGCAGACCTTTCGATTCTGGGTATTTCTTTCCTTTTCTAGGCTTATGTTGCCCATCTCCATCAGTACTTCCTGGGTTCCAGCCTTCTTTGTCCCTTGCTCCTCCTCCTTTCCCCCATACTCCCTCTAGCTCAGTTCTTCCTGTTTCCTTTTTATCTGCTCCTGTTCCTGTTCTTAGCCTATCAGCAGACTTTTCCACAACTCCTCCAGTTTGGCTCAGATACGCCTAGCTTTTCCTATTTGTTCCTCTAACATAGAGTTTTGGTTTAAAGCCTTTTTAGCTGTTTACCTTCCATTATGAGTATACAGCTGTGTTAACAGAAAGTTTCTCCTGTTTGCTTCAGATAAGGAAGCCCCCTTTGGGATTCCTAATAGACCTTAACTTGTTAAAGCTAATTAAATTTTGTTCTGGGAAGTCCTTCAATAATTTTCCCAAGTTTAAAACTAGTGTCATGTTTATATTTTTTTCTTATCTATCTTTGTCTCTCTTTAGCAGTCAACACCTGAGGGGGGGAGTACAGTATTCTGAGCCTAATGCCATGTATCCTCAATGTTGTAATGTGGTGGGATGCCAGACTCTGGGATGATAATGAGATTACTTTTATGCATTTTGTTGTTCTTGTGTCTTGTCTGGATTGGAAAGCCCTTAGAGTGTTGTGATTAAAATGATAGATTGTTCATAGTTTGTTCATTGTTTTCATTTCATAATTGTTTGGGCAGGCTCATATTTCTTGTAACTGACACATACTATTTGACAGAATTAACTTAGACCCAGGGCAGAAATAATATTTGCATGATTCCTGTGGCTGTGTAAAGTACTATTAGTTAATGATACATCACTTTTCTGTTCCAACAGCTATCCCCTTTTCCAGGGCACAGTGAGGCCGGCAGATATTGAGTAAACCAGAGAAAATCAGGAAGGAGAAAGTTGCTGTGCTTGGAAGTGAAATTATGACAGCAACAAGTGGAGAAATGGTTACTTGACACATGAAGATATTTTAACCTAAAAAGTACTTTATTTTTCTTGTTGATGACCAGAAAAGGGCATCGATATGATACCATTTTAGGCAGTGTGGTATAGCAGATATGTGGCTAACATCATTGCCGTGTCATTTGTTTAATATATGACCTTAGTCAAGTTACTAAGCCTCTGTGTTTTCTGAGATATACAGTTGGAATATCGGCACCTACCTGAAGCGCTTGTTGTGAGAACTATGTTAGTCAAAGTATAGGTTGGGTGCTGAACGGAGTGCCAGTCCTCTCAGAGAAAATACCCAGTTTGTTTTCTTTCTCTTTTGTACTCATAACACATGGTGCCATTAATAGCAGACATTTGTTCTTGCAGTATTGGTAATAGACCAGTGCAGATTGGGCAGACAGGATAGTTTTGTGACTTTTTCATGTGGAATGTGGAGGCACAATGTGGTGTGGAAAGTGCTTGGGATTTGATGTCATGTCATTTGAGTTGGAGGCTCCACCAGTCACAAAGTGTATGAATTTAGGTAAGTCCCTCCACTACTCATCTGTAAAATGAGGGTAACAGATTGCCCTCACTGGTAGTTAAATGGGGGTAGTGAATGGTCAGTGAAATGTTACATGTGAAAGTGTTTTATGAACTTGGCTTTGAGTGAACATTACGTTTTTTTTTTTTTTGAGATGGAGTCTTGTTCTGTTACCCACGCTGGAGTGCAGTGGTACGATCTTGGCTCACTGCAACCTCTGCCTCCCGGGTTCAAGCAATTCTCCTGCCTCAGCTTCTTGAGTAGCTGGGATTACAGGTTCATGCCACCACGCCCAGCTAATTTTTGCATTTTTAGTAGAGATGGGTTTTCGCTGTTTTGGCCAGGCTGGTCTCGAAATCCTGACATCGTGATTCACCCACCTCCACCTCCCAGTGTGCTGAGATTACAGACATGACCCACGACACCCAGCTTCTGACATTACTTTTTATAAAGACTAGCTTTGTTGTTGTTGTTGTTGCTGTTTTGTTGTTGTTTTGCAACCCCCCTGCCCCTCCCAAGACTAGCTTATACTTGATGATTGTAGTCTCTTAGAATATTTGTGTGTGTTAGTCCTTTGAGGAATGAGGAACAACACTGTATGTTGAAGTGTCACTTAAAAGAGATCCTAACAACATCAAGGAGGTAACAGAACTACACATATTTAGGGGGATATCCTGGGTTTACCTTTCAGGTCTTTAATTGCATCTAGCACTTTAAATTGCTCTCATTGCCTTCTCTTCTGCTTTTCCTTTTCCTTAGAATGGTGTCTTTTATATGTTTGTTTAAAGTTTTTTTCTTTTTTTTTTTTCCCTGGGAAGAAGATTAATATCTTTTAGGGATTTGATTGGAAGACCAATCAGAATGTATCTCTATGTGCATTTGACTTGGATTATTATTCTGCCTTCTTATATCTTGTAAAGGGTTTGTGCAAATCATCTTAGCAGTAAACAAAAACAAAGATTTGGCTCTTTGGAATGAGAGTGGCTATAATATTATTTCCCCTGAATTGAGGTTTAAGGCACTGGAACTTGGAGATCTAGCAGAATAACCCATAAGTATGAAGTTTTGAGTTATAGTGAGAGATTATGATCTTTTTTGGGTTCTTATGAGTAAATATAGGAAAAGTAGTTTTTCTATATTTTTTCAAATAACATGAGCAACTGTGATGTTTCAAAGTATTAATTATGTAGGAGTTGTGAATGGGGAGAGGCATTTAGTTGCTTGGTCATAATATTTATAAATGGGGATAACTATTTAGTCTGTTTCTAGTTCAGATGGGTCTCTGACCATATTGATCATTATAAGGATTCATAGTATGTATAGAGAGATTTGAGAGTATGAACTCTGAAGTCAGACTGCCTGGGGTGACTACCAACCCAGCTACTTGCTACCTGGGTTGCCTTCGACAGGTCACTTACCCTCTCTGTCTGTTTCCTCACCCATATAACAAGGTTAATGATATTCTACAGGGTTGTGGTAAGGATTGAATAAAATAACATTTGTAAAGTTCTTAGCACAAGGGCCTAACCCACACTGTTGCTACTGCTGCTGCAACTGTTGTTGTTTTCCTTGAATGTCACAAAAGGCTTTTAGGAGATTGATACCTTCAACATCTAACACATACTGCACATGGAACAGTACACCATGAAAAATTGAGAAAGATCTCCATGAGGTGAACTGTTCAGAATGCTTTGTGAATAAGCTTAACCAGTACAGTCATCAAAGAGTATTTTTAAGCGTTGGATAATAGTCATGATTATACCTATATGCTTAATTTGAACTGATTAATTAATGGTCATTTCTTGTTTGCCAGTCACTAATTTATATCACATTTTATGAAATCAGTGTTTTGTAAATAAATTAGTCTAAAAGCACGTTATCTGCAGGTAAGGTGTTTGGCTTTAGCCAGTTAAATAAAGTCTGACTTTATTAAAGCTGTTCATTTAATTAGAATTAATTTCTTGGTTCAATGGTTACTTATCAGGAGAAATATGGCCAGTGGTAGAGCAGGTTTCTGACTTTGAAAAGCTTTCATGGTGTGGACTTTTTAACAAGGTAATTGAGGAGTCAGTGTTCAAATTTTCTTCTGGCCTTTCTATTTACTGATAATCCATTGCTGTGAAGGTATTAAATTTTATTATTTGGTCTATTTATTAGTTCAATAAATAGTTTTTGAGTCCATACTATTTGTCAGACAGGAGCTATGAGAACAGGGATGATGAATCAGATATAAATTATGTCTTCAAAAAGCTGGCATTTTAGGAGTGTTCAGTTCTCATTTGTAACCATTCATGACCTTTTAAAATTTATTCGCTTTACCTTATGATACTTTAATAGATATTTGTTTTTTCTCTGGTTTGCTATACTTAATACAGCAAAAATGCTCTTTCCTGTGAGATTTGGTGGGAAAGAAAGGCCTGTAGAGATGATCCTAAGGAACTTTGCTATGATAAATTATAAAGATCATGTCATAAGGATAAAGTAATATGGATATTTATAGATACACATTACTTGTCCTGCTTGTTCTTCAGTCAGCTAATTGATACCTATCAAAGGTTGGCAAATTTAGATTTATGCCTGGGTTTGTCACTTCTCCTTTAAAATAACCTAGTGAGGTTTGTCTGATGATCATTAGTCACATTGGACATTATTATTAACACATCAAAAAGTTGTCCTTGTGTTCAGTATTGTTCAAAGGATCATTTTTAATTTGATTTATGC